AGAATTTAAAAGTTTACGCCGCCTTCTTCCCTCTCTCCCTCCCCCATTAATTCAGGTGAGAGTAAGACAAGAAAAAAAAAACCAAACAAACAAAACCCGAGAAGGAAAGAGGAGGCGCCCTCGGCCCCAGACCCAGTGGCCGCCCCACGGCCAAGGTCCGCAGCGTCCTGCGCAACGGGCACGCAAGAAACCACGGGAAACAAATGACCAGAAGTTTGCTGCGCTCGAGTGTCTTTTCGATTTCGCTCTCATCCTGCTCCCCTCTTCCTGGAACATCTCAAAGCGGGACTGGGGTGGGCCTCCCCTCGCCGGGCCGCGGTGCTGGCCCGGGGCGGACCCCCTGCCCTCCCGGGGCCGGCGACGAGCGCAGGGACCTACCTGCAGGGTGGGCTCCGGTCCGGGCGCGCGGCTGCTCGGCGCTGCCGGGGGCACTGGCGGGGCCGGAGCGGTGGGTGCGCCCGCGGGCGGCGCCGGCCAGGGGGCGCTCGTCACCCTGCGCCCCGACCGCCCCAGCGGGCTCCCCGGACGCCGCCCAGGAACCCGCGGCCGGCGCGCCCCGCGGTGCCGAGCGCCTGGTCTCCGCCTCTGCGCCCGCCCCTCCCCTCCAGCCTCGCTCCTTCCTCGCGCCTCTCGCTCCGCTGCGCTCCGACCGGGAGAAGATGCGGATGGGGTGCCCCCCCGGGGCGAGGATGCTGAAGGAGGGCCCGCAAGGGGCGCCTAGCATCAGCCACATGCTGAGCGCAAGGAAAACGGAGCTTGAGAGCACCTGCTTCTCCATCTACCCAAACCGAAAAACCAAAACGATCCTTCTCGTTGGAAAGATCAAGGTCATTCGGTAAAGAGAACTCTGTTTTGTCTGTTTTTACACTCTCGAAAGGACTTGTGAACATGACTCTTTTAAATTTACCTGCCTGAGAAGTCGGTGCAATTCTGTCCGGTGAAAAAATCTTATCCGGGTTGCGTTCTACCTATGATTTTGATTTTCTGTTTCTGCACAACTGTCATTTTATATATAACTTCCAGAGGTGCACCGCTTTAAACTTGACCACCCTTGAAGCTGCAATGTAACGTTACAGTGCATTGTCATTTGAAGATTTTTCTGCGGTGCTGTTGACACTAACGATGGTCATGACGACGACCACTGGGGTGGTTCTTCTCATACGCCATAGAATTAATTTTTCATGCAGGTTAGTAAAGCTTTATGTCTGGTTACCAATACTAGGATAGAGCTGTTGCATTTCCATTATGACATTAAATGATTAAAATGTACTTGGTTAAGCCTTTTTTTTCTTTTCTTTTTTTTTTTTTTTTTTTTGCTACAACACTCTAAGACCAGATTAGTCTGTGAAATAAAAGAATAATCTCTTTTTTTAAGGGAGATTAAAAAGGCATAAAAGAGCCAAACCTTGGATTAGCAAGCTTCTGATCACGGAAGTACAGTGTCAGCTGAAAAGGACCTCAGACTACAGCTGGTTCCCAACTTTTAATTTAAAGATGAAAAACTGGGGCCCAGGAGGGTTTGGTGACAGTTAATTCACGTGACTGCCTTGTGGCAGGCCTGTGCTAGGAAGCCAGCTATGGAGACTCTTTCCCCTGATCTGTAGGAACTCAGCAAAGCAAACACACACACACCTTTTAAGGACAAAAAGTATGTTCCATGAAAATTACTAGCCCCTCTCCCCCGTTTGTTAATATCAAACAGCATTAAATGGACCTGCAGGCCAGGATCATCCAGTAGACAGGCTGCCATCTTTTAGAAGATTCTAGCCAGGAGGCATGAGGGTGGACAGAACCTTGGATGCGCCAGCTCACATCACTAAAGCCTGGCACATAGTAGGCACTGATTGTGTATTTGCTATTGAAATTTAGTGGGAAAACATGCCTATGGCTGGAACAAGGTGGCAGAGCTGGAAGAATGACCCCCACTGCAGGCTGCAAATTAGAAACTTCCAGCTCAAAACACCTTCCTCCTGGCTCTTCTCCAGCTATCCTTATACGGAGCCCGTCACCTGGAGAAGAGATGGCAGATGCCGAGATAGTAAACCCACCCATTCCCCGTTGCTGGGGTTTTCACTGGCTATTTGAGAAGGAGGTAAAGGACATATAGGAGCTCTAGGGAAATTCATATGTCCTTTTAATTTAGTCAATAGTCAGTGGCTTTTAAAAAAAGCTTCAAATAATGATGCTGCTGATGATCATGTACCCCGTGCCTATATAGCAGGCATTGTAAGCAGCACTTTTTGATGCACCATTCACTTAATCCTCATAACAATCTTAGGAGGTGGATGTTATATCATCATCTCCATTTGAGAGATGAGAATAACGAGCTTTGGAAGGATTGTGCAACTTGCCCAGGTTCCCACCATTAAGAAAGTACCAGCGGCCGGCCCAGTGGCACAGTGGTTAAGTTTGCACATTCCACTTCAACAGCCTGGGGTTCGCTGGTTCGGATACCTGGCGTGGACATGACACCGCTTGTCAAGCCATGCTGTGGCAGGAGTCCGTGTACAAAGTAGAGGAAGATGGGCACGGATGTTAGCTCAGGGCCAGTCTCCCTCAGCAAAAAAAGAGGAGGATTGCCTGCAGATGTTAGCTCAGGGCTCATCTTCCTCCAAAAAACTAAAATAAAAAATAAAGTACCAGATCAGGATTCGAACTCAGGCCAGTCTGGAACAGCCCCCTCCAGCACCGTTGAATACCATCTCCATCCTAGAACCACTCCTTCCATCCTCTGCTTCTCTCTTTTCTGGACAGCTGGTCTCTGGAGACCCATGCTACCATCCTATTCTAGAACCATATCGTCCTACCATTGGAAATCCATTCATCTGAAGACTGGATCTATTAAAACAATATTCTTCCTATATCTAGAAAGGGGATTTATTTTGTTCTGTTTTGAATCTCATCCAAAAGGAAAAAATCCAAGTTTGTTCTTGATACATGCTAGACATTCGGGATTCCTCTAGAACTGTTGAGCCCCGCATCTTGCACGGCCAGCCTTCTCCTTCCGCAGCCTACGAGGCATTTCTGTTTCACAGCAGACATTGCCTCATTGTTTTAGCGACATGGCTGCTGCTCGGAAGTTCTCCACACGTTTGTTTCCTGGAAGAGGAAATGGCATTTCCTGGAGGGGACTACATGTGGGTGGTGAGGTTCCACTCTCTACGTTAAACACACCCCAACTTTCAGTTTTGTGCTTCTTTTCCTCCTTCAGTTTCTGCCCTGAAGTTTCCTGGAATCGTGCTGACAGACTGTGGGCAGAGGTTTCAGTTCACTTTAACCGGGAAAGACTTAATTCCTGCTTTTTGGATCCCGACCTAAGGAATAAATGACTCCCATGAGTCTTATCCTTGGAGATACAGCCATCCATCTTCCTCCCACCTGGGATTTCCGAAAGGGAGCTTGAGGCATCGCTTTGCTTTTCTTTTGGACCTAGTTGATGATTTTGCTCTATCTCCCAAAGAGACCACCTCTTGCGCCCTCTGTGAGGTTAACCACCTATAAAGGGTTTAGGATAGAAATTAAAAAGAAAATCTTCTTATGGTGAGCCCCAATTTGGAGAAAGATGGTATTTGGGGAGAAGTAGGATATGACAAACATGGACAATTGGAGCATAGATTAGGTAACAAGGACACTTCTGTCTGCACAAAATCAGTACTCAGAGGAAACCAGTTTGGGCTGTTTCCCGAGGAATTTAGCTATCCACTTTTCCTAAGGCCTGGCAGAGACTGATTGTAAAGTGGGCCACCTGAAGCCTCAGAAGACTCAGCACGGAATCAGAAGGCAATGATCTACCCCAACCAAAGACATGAAAAACACGTGGAGTCTAGCATCAGTTTATTCAGAAAATGTCAAAAGTGTTCTGGGAGCTATGGGTCAAAGCGACAGAAGCACAGACAAAAACCAGATATTTTAAATTCACAGTTTGGACAAGGGAAAGGAAGGTTTTTTTTTTTTTTTTTGTCTTTAGTTTGACTTTATACTGTCAAGTGGGAAAAAAGGATAATTAGAATTTAGAAATTGTTATTGCGAAAAGAGAGCTCAAAACCTGAAGCAAAAATTGGCCCTCCCCTTGGGGAGAAAATAAACTTTGATTACTGCTGATAAGAAGATTGATACCAACTCTTCCAGACCCTGTGGGGAAAGGAGAACGCTGAGGGAAAAAGGAACAACGTTCATAAGGTGGTGTTTGTGAAAGTTCGGTTGTTATTATACTGCTTAGTAATGTTAAGCTAATTTTAAAATCTTAGACGACATAGGGGAGGTAGGTTCTAAGTCTTAATTTAAGAAAAAGAGATGATGGGGCTGGCCTAGTGGTGTAGTGGTTAAGTTCGTGCACTCTGCTTCGGTGTCCTGGGGTTCGCATCCTGGGAATGGACCTACACACCGCTCATCAAGCCACCCTATGGTGGCATCCCACGTACAAAACAGAGGAGGATTGGCACAGATATTAGCTCAGGGACAATCTTCCTCAAGCAAAAAGAGGAAGATTGACAACAGATGTTAACTCAGCACCAATCTTCCTCACCAAAAGAAAAGAAAGAAAGAGATGATGAGTGAACCTAATGCTAGCTAATATTTATTGTGCATTTATGACGTGTGTCAGGACATGGTGTTAAACACTTTATTTTAATATTTCATTGGATTCTTACAACGAATCCTATGAGATGGGTAATGTCCTCTTCATCTTACAGATACCATAGCTGAGTCTTAGAAGTCAAAGAAGTGACTTGCCAGGCTCATCAAGCCAGTAAGTGGTGGGGGGGTGTGAGTTGACGGCCAGTCTGTTATACTCAAATCCATAATTTTTGCAGCAGATGAACAGAAGCAAGACAGGAGCTGAAATTATAGTCTGAGTCTTGAAACACTAAAAAGAATTGTGTATGTTTGCGGATGTCCTGATGAGGAGGGCCTCCTAAGAAGAGAAGAGTTAACACGCGTATAGATGGCCAATTTGCAAATTATAATGTATCAAAATGCCCACTTAATAATTCAACCGTAGAAAATAAAACAAAATTTAGCCTTTAATGATGCAGAACATTTAGAGTAGATCGTTTTTTTCCTGAGCATCAATTACTATTACATCATAAAAGAATGAAATTGAGCATGAAAGTGTCCCTCCTTATTTTTTTTAAAAAAGGTAGGGCAGTTATGAAAACACAATATTGTCTTATTTTAGTCATAGCTTCTGAAATCCTAAGGGCCTGGGTTTTTTTTTAAGTCATCACTGCCAGTGAAGAGACTCAATTATAACATAGGTATCTGAATCAGATAGTGAGTAAGATTCGCAAGGTTGCTTTAACATAGTTACAAGTTAGCACAATAAACTCTGGCGTGTTTGTAAGTTCTAAGGGTAGAATCAGGAGGAGAGAGAAGGTCCAGTATTTCTAGGTTCCTGCAGAAACAGTTCTGGATTTGGTGAGCTGGGATATCAGCTTGAGGAGTATGGCCCAAATGGATGTAAACGTTTGTCTGAAATTAGAGAGATATTGATTAGATAGAGTAATCTATACAGCCCATTTTTTAGTGATGCTGTTCCACCAGCGGAAAAGCAACAGCAACCTGAATGTCAGAAAGGCTGTACATTTTGATGAGAATTCCTCCCCAGGAAAGGTTGTTAAGTCTGAGAATTAATCTGTGAATCCAGGAGGAGGAAATCAAGATGAAGCCTTCTGTCATATTTATAAATTTGATTATTGCAAGTCTACAATTTGACATAGTGCAATTGCCCCTGGATTTGAAAATCTATCAGTGAAGGTACCTGACTTTAGTGTGGGCCACTTTACCTCTCGATCGCGTTTTTAACAAGGGAAATGCCACACCTGCCCCTCATTACTCCCTTCTCCTTCAATCCATACCTCTCAAGCATGTACTATATATGGTTTTATTCTGCTATTACCATGTGTGCGCACACACACACACGCAAATGGAGGGAGGGACTCTCCATTTCACAAAAGTACGTTTGACTACATGGAATCTTCTATCAGGTATCTTCCAGCTATAAAATTCTGAGAATAAATGTCAATTGAAAGAAAGTTCTAGTTGTCAGTCATGGGGAATATAACAAAATTTGCGATTGTGGTCATTGCTAACTTAACATATTCACTGGTATAAAAAGATTTTTATTACTGTCAAGGATGTCATGCTCTGATGGCCCAGGAAAACATTGGACATCATTACGCTCTTCTTTGTGTACAATTTTCTTGACTACACCAAAGTTTCAACCGTTCACTTTAAAGTAAAAATTTTGTGAAACAAAAGTATAAGGAATTTCCTTTTTTCTCAGTGGTTAGAACATAGCTTAATGAGGCCAAGTTGACCATATTTGGCTGTTGTGTGAGTCAGTTTGACGTGCTCTGTTTCATGGTCTTACCAACCCAAGCATCTCACCCTTGAAAGTTTTGTTTTTAGCCCCCCAACGGCAGCCCTTGAGACTGGTTATTTTTTTAAACTTGTATTGACTCATGGGTTGTAAGTAGATTTAAGCTGACATTTTCTTCTTCTTTCCTGTCTCTTTTTCTGCTTGTCACTAAACAGAGTTAGCAGACAAAAGAAGCAAAGCCCTGTGTTTAGAATTCAGCATATAACTTGGAGAGCAGATGATTTACTTACAGTTAAGTAATCATGGAGCTTATATTTGTACATTTAAGCAACACGAAAAATAATGACAAACAAATTAATCTTTTTACATCTCATATTAGAACCTGATGGAGATGCTATGCTCAAAAATCAAAGATACGTGGTGTCTGTTTGAAATTGGAAGACATACTTATTTTTCTAGATTACAAATGTCATGCATTATTTCACAACTCCTTTCCTCTAAGTGTTTGTGTTAAAACTGATAAACGGAGAGATAGTCATATGACATCCTGCCAATTTCATAGGGAAGATTGATAGTCCATAAGCCTATAAAGTTAATCTCTATAAACCTTAGGAAGAGCTTGCTGTACTTTGAATAAGCACCTACCCTGTGTTGCCCATTTGTGCCATGGTTTGTTAGTCACATGATCTTATTTCACCCTCATAACAATCCTGTAACATGGGTGAGGTAATTCATACTTTACAGATGAGAACATTGAGGCTCAGAGAGGATAATTAACTTATCCAAGATCACACAGCAAATGAGTGGCAGAGCCAGACTCAGAACCCAGATGACACTCATTTGGACCTGCGCTGAAGCGTCTAGAGAATTCTGGTCACCAACTATAGAGGTTAAAAATAAGGGTCATATGCTGCATGCAGATTTTGAAAAATAATGTTTATTATTTTTCCTATGGTAAAAGTTATGCATTCACTTGCACATGCATGCATGCACACACATCTAGAAATTAGAGAAAAGGAAAAAGAGAAAAAAGATTACCCATAATCCCACAATCCAAAGACAATTAACCTTTTTTTATATTTCTTTACATTCTTTTATCTGTGCATAGTTTTTGGAATTATTTTACTTTAGAAATAACTTTTTTGTTTGCTTGATGATAAACTAATGAATATTCATCATAGAACATTTGGAAACTATAAAAATATACATAAAAGAAAATTTAAATCCCTCATAATCTCAAAATATAAAGATAACTGTTCATACTTTGGCATCTTATCCTGGTCGTGGCTGAGGGCACAGGTCTCAAGACTGGAGCTCAAACTATCTACTTCATGCAATTTGTAGCTGACAGTCCACAGCACGTTTTTTAATTGTTTGATTTTTATTTGATTTGTTGATGTTTTTATTTTTCAAAGAATGACAAATAAGATTTTTCAGCAGTTGTTTGGAATGCTCTGGTTGCTCAATAGGACGAGTTACTTTGCTTTTTCTAAAGGACAAAAATTACTCCCACACAAAAAAATACCTTGAAGAATGAAGAATGATACTATTTAAATCTGCCCTTATCACTCCACAGAATGGCTTTACTTTTTTTCTTCAAACATAACTCATTTTAAGCAGTTTCCACTGCACAGGGAAAGACAACTACTAACTGCGTGTTCACTAATTGGATCGTGTGCTTTTAACCGGAGGAAAAGGCTTTGGGGAGGCTAAAGCAAGTGATACTGAATTGCCAGATTAAGTAAATAAATTTAGGTGTTACATAAGTCTGAGAGGGCTGCAAAAATGTGGATTAAGTTTTAATCACGCTAAGAACTTTTCTCTCCAAGCCAAAGGCGAGAAAGCTGTTGCTTGAGGACCTTTATATCATGTGACCTGACCTGCCAAAGGAACTTAAAAGGGCTTAAAAACTCAAGAACTTCAAAGGCTTCTGGGTGACACAGCAAGGTGTAGCATGCTCGAGCCACCACACTTTATTACCAAGCTGCTGCTTTTCCTGGGAACATAGAGAGAACCCCAGCTAAGGAAACCAAACAGTAAATGCACTGAAAGTCTTTAGACATAGGTCGTGAGGGTATTATGGCCTTTTGCATATTCCATAGAATGTCAAACACTAGGGAGAATTGAAAAAAAAAGACTATTGCATTTGTTTCCCCAAACCTCTCTACATTTGCTTACTTTTTGCACGTTCACACTTTCTCTTTTCCTTGCAATTTCATTGGACAGAACGGAGACCTCTCCCACGGTGCTAAACTTAAATTCTTCCTTCTATTTCTTAGCTAAGAAGGAAAATTCCAGAAATTCCATGATCTACTTTGTAACTCCCTGGACATAGTGAATCCATTATGTACATTATGGGGAAGATGTGGAGAAAGTGAAATTCTCATGCAAATTGGTACAACCTTGGGAAACTGGCAGCATTTACGAAACCCGAGCATATGGGTGCCCTGTGACCCAGGCATTCCATGACTACCTAATCCACAGATATGTGTACATCGACATGCACTAAAAGATGTATACAACATATTCATCACAGCACTATTCACAATCACTGCACGCTGGAAACAGCCTAAGTGTCCATCCCCTGTAGAATGCGTCGTTACCTTGTGGCATGTCAATCAATGGATACGATGCGGCCATGAAAACTGACAAATTACTGCTACAGTATGAGCAAATCTCACAATCGCAATGCTGAGTGAATGGCGTCAGGTCTAAATGAACACACTCCATGTGGTTTCATTTATGTAAAGCTCAAAAATGGGTATAATGAATTTATGCTATGAAAAGTCAGGATAGTAGTTCTCACCTTTGGAGGGGCGGGTGGTCTAGTGTCTGGAGAGGGCATCAGGGTGGCCTTGGCTGCGTTGATGGTGTTTGATCACTTGATGTAGGAGGTTGTTACATAGGTATGTCTACTTTGTAACACTTCATCGAACTGCACGTTTGTGGCTTGCGTACTTTTCTGTCTGTGTCAACCCCAATAAAATGGATATATGAAAATGGGATGTAACATCACCATATTTATCAAGTCCTTTCTGTGTAGTCAGAAACAGGGTTGGTTTCCCAGGTAATGGAGAATTCATCAGGAATTCAGTGAGCTCAAACTGTGTGGCAGATGTGGTCATTATCTCCCTCTCTCTGTCTCTGGGTCTCTATCTCTCTGTGTCTGTCTTTCTCCATGTCTCTGGCTCTCTGGCTCTCTTCTGCTATCATTCAGCATGGCAACAAGTTAAGCTTAATGTTGTGTGACCTCAAACAAACCATTAAGTCTTTGAGTCCTTTTTTCTTAGTTGATGAGAGAAGGAGTTCGACAAGCTGGTGTCTCCAGGACTTCGGGGCCCCCACTGGTATGACTCTAGGCTCCTCTCCCTTCTCCGTGAGGCTCCCCCTGACCACTTGTTTTCACAGTATTCTCTCAATCCCTCTCTCTCTCTGAAATCCTGCCATACACCCTGCCACTCCTGCTCTGAGCGGCAGCCCATTGACGTCTCCCCCACCACGGATTTGTGCGCGTGTTGTTCTCTCTGTGCCTCTCCAGGGTGCCTAGCACTGTGCCTTGTACAGAGTAGATCATACAAAGTATTTGTGCTATAAAGGCAAAAATTTAGTAAAGAAAACTTTGAATTCCACGTTATAGTCAGTGGGTAAATGCCTCAAAAATGTTAAAAAATAGAATGTTTCCCAACTTGAGCAAAAGACAGTTCATGCCCATTTCTAAATGGAATCCAATAAAGATGGCACAAAGTACAAGTGGGGGTAGTTATGACTCTCTGTACATTGTTTTTTTGGAGGTAGCATGTCCATGACATCAAAGTATCACAAAGTAACCGCCATAAAATATAAATAAAGGCAATAAAGAATCATCTGGAAAAATTTTACTTGAGGTAATTAAAGATAAGCTTTTAATGATGGAGATCCTGAGGATTGATAAAGAATATTGAAGAAGAGGACTGGATAATAAGAATTCATCTTCCTGGCTTCCGAATTGTTCAATTGTACTTAACCACGCTTCTTAATAAGGTGAAAATATTTATTTCAAGAGATATGTTGCTCAACTGCAGACACAGATAAGCCTCTGTTAGCTTGATATCAATATCCTTTGGAAACACCCTCTTTCCTTTATTATCATTTTTTCAAATATGTCTGCTCA